CAGAGCATTTTGGCTCTAAATAGTTATTAGACAACTCTTAATTAGTATTTAAATAAACTGGCCCTTAACAATTGCTTATTAAATACTGTTTTGATAAACAGACATTCTTTTTCAGAAGCAGCAGCAGACATGTTGACTACTGTAAAAACAGAGTTAGGATAAATATAATTTCTTCTACTGCTGCATTAGAAACATAGCCATTTCAGACAGAAAGTGTATTTTTAATGAGCAAGCCTATTAATCTGATGTGTATGCCAGTATAGACAAGTTTATATCCGAGGTGTATTCTGATGACAAATATGCAAACTGGCCCTTGTATCATCTTCCTAAGAAATGCTTTACATTTAGAGTAAAATTCTAGATTTCTTTGCGTAGGTTGTTTGTGGCTTTTTTTTGCCTGACAGAGCGTACAAACATTAACCCATTTTCTAGAACGGCACTGAATTCCTGCCTCATTATAGAGCAACAGACAATACAGACAACAGACCTTTGCGTCACTACGTCCAGAGGGACACTTCATGAAACCCAACTGTGCAAGCCTGAGATCACACTCAGCATCTGGACATTCAAAGCTAACTTTAAAACCTTAACTTAAGACTGTGCCCTCCCCTCACGTGAAGTATTTTGAGCCAAGAACACTAAGGACCTCTATACTTTCTGGACATCGCTGATAAAAGAGAATCAGTTACTAAAAGCTTTTAGAAAACATTTTCCGTAAAAAGATTCAGAAGAAACAGTGGTACCTAACCTCTCTCTAAAGACTGTCTACAGTCAACAGAAAAATAAGCTAGAAATCATGAACTGTTAAACCAACCGGAATCCACTACAGCAACCAGACTCACCACAGAGCTCTGGCTTCTCTGGGGTGGGGAGATACCGTTCCTTCTTAAACAAAACAAGTGTTTGTGGGAAGAAATATTACTTGAACATAAACAAACAGAATCACAGTAGATTATGACTATTTCAGAACTGTAATTCTCCAGTCAAGAACGTTTCTTTTTGATTCACACCCAAAACAAAGCCTGCGATAAAAAAATTTAATTGTCAACTTCTAGCAGCAGAATCAGTTTAAGATCTGTAATCCACTTCACTCCTAAAGAATTAATGAATTCCCAACAACAGTTGATTTAGTTTGTGCTTGTTTTTGTTGTGTTGCACTGAAAAAGTAAATGATTAGCAAAAGTTTCTCCAATTAGTAATCCAGACTACTGTAGCTTTAACACTTCATAAATTTTTAAATGAGTATGACAATTTGAGGTTAAAGGGTCAGTGGTGTTGGCCACGTATTTCCAGTCAGTATTTCCTTACTCAATATCTTTCACTGATACATAAATCCTAACAAATACTAATGTAATTTAAAATAAATCACCCTAATAGTTACTGTGTGTTTGTATATATGCTATATTAAAAAAAAAATACGACTTTATTTGAAATTTTTTTTGCAAGTAGAACCAGAAAACAATAAAAACATTACAGTTTCACACATAGCACCACATTACAGGTATGGATAGCTCCCACAAAATTACACAGGAGATTAAAGGGTTGCACATTAAACTCATTATTATTATTAAACCCACTTGCAAAAGAATTTTGCTAAACTTATTTCAATGATATTACACGCCCATTTAAAATTTAATATTTCCTTAGTCTGGTAAGGTGGAATAAAAAGAGACCAAACCACAATAACTATGAAATAACTTCACTTTATAATTTATGCTAATCGCACGCCAACAATTATTTTTACCAGGGACAGATTTTCAGATTGCAGCTACATGAAAAGTTATGCGTCTCAAAAACCCTCTACTCAATTCTCCATTAATAAATGGGGACTTCACAACTCTCTTTCCGTAAAGGATAAACCATTCACTACCTTGCTCTTACCATCAGATACAATTGTCTCCCTCATGCTTGCTGTTTTCTTTTTCTTACTGGGTAAGAGCAGTGTATCCAAAATCACCATAACAATTCCTGCATCTCGATACATATAGCACTGCTATATATTTATAAATATCAGAAAACGTCAAACAGAAGCATAGATACAGACTTATATAACCTAACAGTTCAATAAAAAGCCAAAGTAAGAACTGCACTTATTTTCACGGAAGAATCTCGGGATCAGTTTCCTAGCAGCGTAAGTGACTATGGCTCTTGTCCCTGATTCTTAATAGGTATGAGCAAAATAAAAACCAAACATAGGTACATTAAAAAAAAAGAGGTAAAATAATGAACATACAGCAATAAAAGATAAAAAACCTAAAACAAAGAGCTTGATGATTTGCATTTTTAATTAATTTTCTTTTTTTTCCCCCTAAATTCCTGTAAGAGAGCTAACAACAGTCTCTTCCTATTAGAAAAAGAACAACATATGCACCCACCTCCAGTTCTGGCAGAGCTCTGATGCGGGGAGGGGGTATCTACCACAAATCTTTCACACACACTATCCCCAAACTCACATTACAAGTTTTTGTTTCAACTATACCATACCATGCACTAAAAAAAGTCCCTCCTTCCCTCTGACACTATCCCTGGTAGCACTAGAAGGCTCCTGATGATCAAACAGTCCTCTCGCTCACTCAGCTGTCGCCCAGCCAGAAGGGATAATGTTCCTATATATGTCAGGTAAAATAAAGCACGGTATCTCCAAATGACTTTGCCCTTACACGGAAACAAATTCTTTTCTTGTTTTAAATTTAAATTACAGATCTGTAGCTAGCCAAAACTGATACCATAATTTCTGCAACATTAAACCACACAATACGAGTAGGAAGTTGTCAATTACCAGTAAGATGGGTAGACAGCATCTATGCAAAGAAGCTATCCAGCATACTACATTTTCAGCCACTGTTTTCCTTCAGAGAAGAAAAAACTAAAAGGCTTGGGGGGAGGGGGGGGGGTGTTATCTCTTGCCCCCAGGCACGATCTACGCAAAGAGGAGACCGTGCTGTAACAACAGCTGACATGTAGTCACAAGAGCCCAGAGCGTAACTCCGACAGACAATCACACTACATGACTGTTCGCTGCTGCTGAAATGGCGTTTGTCATTGTGAAAGGAGAGAAAAACCTCACAGTTCGGTAGGCACAAAGCACACAGGGCACGGAGTGCCAAGGGAGGCGGGGAGAAAAGACTGTTTACCGGAGAAGATGGTCGCACATGCAGGGGACACACGATCCGTTGCCTCTACGCTCTCCTATTCGGAGGAGCGCAGCCGTGAGAGCAATACACACACCCGCAGCAAACCACGTTAAAGAGCAAAATAAACACGGGGAGCCGGGCCGGGGGAGGGGCCAGCGGAGGAGCAGCCCCACGGGCCCTGACTATAAAGCCCCTGGCAGCTGCACCCAACCGGCAAACTTGCTGTGCAGCGGAGCGCCCGTTTAAGCCGCGGCCGGAGCCGCCGTTCCCCACCCCCGGGCACTCACCAGCG